TATATATATATATATATATATATATATACATAGTTATTAATTTATCCTGTATGAAGGGCATTGAGTAAGTGAAAAGAACTTAAAGACACAGGGGCTCACATCGATACAGCTGAAATGTAAACAAACAAAAAAAGGATTTCGTAGCACATATACTGTTGAATCGACTACTTTAAGTTTGCTGCAATCAAAATTATTTGTGTATAAATCTAAAAAGTTCTAAACTGATCATTATTTTGCTTTTAACCATTGTTTGTGGAAAACTAGACGAGATATCACCATAATCATTAGGTTACTGTGATGACCATCATCAGTTTTGTCGCACATTATAGGCAGAACATCAGGTCGATGTTCAGAGAAAACGATCGGCTCGGTGATCGATAATGACAATATCTGTCCCAATGCATGCTCAATAATGCAGGTAGATCAATCTAACAAGGTTGAGTCATTTCCTCTGGACAGATTCTTCTGTTGAAACGTAAAAAAAGAAAGATGAAATGTTTCAACAAAGAAGAATCCGTCCAGAGGAACTGAAATAACAACATCTGTTAGTTACAGCTTTAGATTTCTCACAGAGGAGGACGTACTTTGGGGTTTTGCTCAGGAGTGAGGGAAGAATGAAGCAGGAGATTTTGCAGATGGATTGGTGCAGCATCTGCAGTATTGCAAACTCTGTGCCGGTCCGTTGTGGTGAAGAGGGAGCTGAGCTGTAAGGCCAAGTTCTCTGTTTACCGGTTGGTCTACGTTCCTACCCTCACCTATGGTCATGAACTCTGGGTAGTGACTGAAAGAATGAGATCAGGTGGTTGAAATGAGTTTCCTCTGCAGGTTAGCTGGACTCTCTCTTAGAGACAGGGTGAGAAGTTCAGTTATCAGGAGAGACTTGGAGTAGAACCGCTGCTCCTCCACATCGAGAAGAGCCAGTTGAGGTGGGTCAGCATCTGGTAAGGATGCTCACTGGTCCCCTCCCTAGGGAGGTGTTTCAGGGAATGTCTGACTAGGAGGAGACCCCAGGGAAGACCCAGGACACACTGGAGAGACTATGTCTCTCGGTTGACCTGGAAACGCCTTGGAATCCTCCCAGAAGAGCTGGAAGAGGTGGTTGTGGAAAGAGATGTCTGGACCTCCCTGTTCAAGATGCTGTCCCTGAGACCTGGAAGATAATGGATGGATGGATGGATGGATGGGTGGATGGATGGCTAGATGGATGGATGGATGGATGGATGGATGGATGGATGGATGGATGGATGGATGGATGGATGGATGGATGGATGGATGGATGGATTTCCCACAGAATGAGTATAAATTTGAGGTGGCATTGAGGTTGATCTCCTGGTTAATGCTTGAGTGAGTGACAGAATACTTTTGGATTCAAATGGTTTTGTTCGTGTGTTTAGTGGTTCGGTACTCTGAACCGCCTCAGCTGTTGGACTTTTTATTTCATGTCTGTGACATCTCAGTTGATTCTGTTAAAAAAAAACTGGTTTCTGAAGTGAAATGTTTTGGTTTTAATTCAAATCCAGCTAAATGAACATAAAAATGAATATTTACCTTTCTAGCATCGCCACTCGCTGGTCATTTTGGTTTATCATTAAACTTATTTTTATTTGTCGCGCTGCACAACTCTATTCACCAATCTCAGGTTCAAACTGCATCATCTTTTTATCAATCTTTTTAAGAAACTGACATTTTCCCTCAGTTTGAATATAAATAAGGGATGAAGGTAGGTCCTGAAGCCCGACCAGTTTTAATACTGATTTAATCAATTGGTTCTGCCTGAAGATATATTTATTTTTCTCACACAACAATCTACAAAGTACCTAAGAAGGTATACTGACTTGTCAGTGCAGCTGTACTTAGACAGTGGTGCATTTGTTAACCTTTTTTCTTTTGTTTAAGGTACATTTTTGTTGCTTACAGTCCCTTACATTGCAAGATTCAGTGTTGATTTATTTATTGTGACTTTGGCAAAATGTCGATGAAAATTTGGTGTGTTTTTTTTATGTATTTTTTAAATGCTGGACAGACAAAAGAAGAAATACTGAATGAAAACATCTCGTGCAATTTGTTAGTGCTCAGGATACAGCTTCAATTCAATTCAATATACTTTATTGATTGCCAAGGTGAAATTTCATTTCAGTACATCCTGCCAAGACAACATACATGGGGGTGGGGGTTGGTGTGGGGGGTGTCTAGGACTGCAGCCGCAGGGAGCAGCGCGACCTTTCATTAAAATAATAATATAATAATGTGTTATGTATTGTTATCATTGTATGTTCCCATACAATGGCAAAATTGGCTCTCTGCATTTAACCCATCTACCACCAGGTGGAGCAGTGGGCAGCTATTGAAAGTGCCCAGGGAGCGATCGGGGAAAGGGTGTGCTGCTCAGAGACACCACAAGATGTGCAATGACTGGGGACCGAACCTGAGACTTTTGGGTCCCGGGTCAGCTGCCCTGCCCCTACACCATCTCACAGGGATAAGAAAAGAAAAATATGAGGAAAGAAAGGTATAAAGGTTAGATGAACTAGGACATGATAGGTTTGGAGACGATGCTCAGTTTCTACAATGATACATTTTAGCTCAATATCGTTACAAAAGACTGACTTTTAGCCCTTAATGTATTTGCTCTGATCAATTGACTGGGGTGGCCATCTTGAATCAGGACAATATCAATAACGAACCAATGATTTCATCATGAGAGTTGCATAAAAATTACAATTTTCCACGATTGTTCATCTTTTACGGTGTGGAGTGATAAAGCTTCAGCTCGACCATTCTAAAAGTCTTAAAACCATCCAATGACATCTTTGAAGTCTTTTACGTCCATCTCTGTCCACACAGTCCTAACCTCCTGTCCTTGTCTCCTCTGTCTCCTCTGTCTCCAACAGGGTCGCATTTGTAGGAAATCGGGCAAGTCCAAGAAAGCTTTCAGTCGTAAAGAAGCCGAGGCCACCTTCAAGTCCCTGGTGAAGACCCACGAGAAGTACGGCTGGGTGTCCCCCCCTATCTCCGACGGCTGAGTGCTCAGCCTCCACTTCCCCGACCCCCTCGTGCTAGCCGGAACCCCCACCCCAGCTAGCTTTGACACGCAAAACGACACACCACGCTAACTCAACTTTCTCATCTTCACCCTCGGCTGTTTGGTTTACGACTGTATTTATTTCCTTTGAACTTGTAGTTTTTTTGTGCGAGTGTTCTTCATTTGTTTTCCAACGTCATCTCCAGCATCAGCTAGCGGAGAGCGGACACGCAGTCATTCCTGTCAACAACAACAAAAAGAAGAAACTCTTCAGTCTTTTCGCAGAAGGATTCTTTCCTTGTTTTGGGAATACCTGGGAGCGAGGAGTGTGTGGTTGAGTGTGTCACCTCATAATAAATCAGCTGGCAGTGTGCCCACATGCATTGGAGTGTGCATTATTCTTGGTGGATCCATTTTTTTGGGGGGGTGGGTTGTTTTCACTCCCATGCATGTGCAATTGGACAAATTGGATATTACCGACCTTTTTCCACCGATGTGAAAGACTACTGAACGAAGGAGACTCATTTCCCTCTGCTCTGACTCCATCCCTTGCCACCCCTCTCCACCTCACCGAACTGGCGTCCCGTCCAACCATCCCTGTCGCCGCCGAGTCATTTACATGTAAATGAAGCTGTTAATGTTTAATAGACGTGCAGCGTGTTGGCGTTTAGGCCCATTCGTTCACTCCTCCCTTTTTTCTTTTCTTTCGACTGTGCCGTTGCTCACGATTCAATGCAACATAAAGATTGTAATTTACATAGAGCTGTGCTCTCTTTCGTTCTCTTTTCTGTCTCTCGTGGCTAAATTCACTGTTGTGTAGATGCTTAATGGAGAAAAAAGTCACATGTTGCTTTATGTAGAGATTATGTATGATACATAGAATAACAGCCTCATTCTCTCATGCCTGTGTGTGTAGGAGTGGAAGAATACTACAATTCCCATGATTTAGATACCAGATGGTACAGCTGGAGGCGGGGCCTCAGTATGCGTGAGCGAGAAAGACAACCCTTTAAACAGTAAACTAATATGATTTACTGTGAACTATGGCCTAAAGGTTGTGCCGTTTCATTTTTCCTGCTGCGTCGTTACCACTCTCGTTCCACCGTCTGCGTCCGCTCTTTATTGATATTACCGTAAAGATGATTGCAGTTGTCACCTAACATTCCCCTCTTCTGTCTTTCCATCCGTCTGAAGGACAACAGGCTAGTAGAGAAACAAAAAACAAACTTTTAGACTCACGCACTTGACCTCGCCCACGCTTATCCACCTTGGCAGCAGCAGTAACACCTTGAAATGAAGACAGGAGCTGGAGCGCCGCTGCAGATGGAGTGGTGCTTTAAATGAGTGTCTACTTCAGAGCGCACCTGATTGATGTCTGCTGCACGGGGAAGCTGAAGGCAGTAGGAAGAGGGGGGGGAAGCTTTGATCACTGCTGCCTGCTTCTCAGAAAATGTCAGGTGGCTTGCAAAATGGCTGAAGACAGATATTATTTGCTCTATCTGCTGCACGTGCTTCTTGGGTTCAAACCTTTAAAAGGACTTTAATAAGTGTACAGCTGCGACCGTGAATCAGTCATAGTGGGCAGGTTGTCTGTTCGCTCGGTCCGCTTCTTGTTCCGCTACCTGCCAGGGAAATGTCAGAGGAAAAGCTGCTAATTGGTCTGACATTTTAGGAAGCGCGTCATTAGGAGAGAGCAGCAAGAGCGGGAGGGTGGAGGACGTCAGAGCCTGCTGCTCGGCATCTTCCTCTTCCAGTTTCTGGTGGGAGGGGCTTGTTGTTGAGCAGGTTGCGCCGTGCTGCGGGCGCCATCTTTGAGCCAGTTTTCAAAACTCTGCTTGCGTTGCATTGGTGGCCGATAGCTAAAGCCTCTCTGTGCACGTGTCACACTCCCATCACTAATACAATAAAAAGAGAGAGAAACAGCAACGCACCATCTGGTATTTCATCATGTATGAACGTGTGCTAGTGCTCTTTGAATTTGGCTAGTCATTTCAGGGTTGATCGTATAGTGATCTCTTGGCTTGTCAACAGAGAAAACTGTAAACCGAACTATTATTATTATTACAAAATATCTCAAAAAAACTTGAGTGTTCGCTGGTTTCAACAGAATCATTTTGTGATAGAGTATAGTCTGGTAGTCTGCAGAAACTAACTGGGTGAACTGATTATTTGTATTATATCTGCATGTGATCTGTGATTGGTAGCTAGCTACTGTATACTTTTTTATTTTCAAGAAAAGCAAGAAAAAAACGACGTTTAAACAAAAATGCAAATGCTTCTCTTTATTCTCGTTTGGTTTTCCTTTCTTACGTTGAGTTCTGTATTGTACAGACTTTCCCTTTTCGTTCTGTGTCCTAAAATTGTCACATTGTGTTCTATGAATGTTTGTGTTTTAATTTATTTGTGGTTTGCCAAAATGATGATTTGAAGCATGTTGCAGGTATTGTTATGAGAAAATGAGAAGAAAAAAATACTGTGTTTGTGTGATGGGAAGGTGGGATTATTTGAGGGGTGGGGGGTTCAGGGAGCAAAGACAGACAGACAAAATAAAGCCTCAACATTAGAATGATTTTTTTTTTAGTTTATCTACTGTAAGTGGAAACAAGAAAAGTCCTTCACTCCTTTGAGTACTTCCTTGTTTCCGCCACAATGTCACCACTTCCCCATTGGTCCTGCTCAGTACACTGATTTGGCTCGTTGCAACCTTTCTTGACTGATCCAGGATCAGTTTGGCCTCCCAACACTTCAAATCAGACTCATCAAGAGAACCTGTTATCAGTTAGCAGCTTTGTTCCAATCCAGACTCGAGTGTTCGGTCCAAACCAAGGTCTTAAAAGTTCGAAAGGTGAAAGGTCGTTGCAAGACCAAACAGGAATGTGCAATAAACGTTACAGCTTATTGAAACCCGACTGATTTGGTGGTTTTGTTTCATGTTTGAATCCTGAAAAAGGCTGAGAAAATGCTCGATCGGAACATTCTATGGGTTGCCGTTTGTAAAGTTACACAGTCAAAAATTAACATCGGTATTTTGGTTTATTGAGCCTTTCATAAGAAAAAAAAATTTTTTTTTTCAAAGTCATATTTTCACCATGTCATTCATACATTTATAAATGTCATAGTTCCAAACTAAATATTTAATTTACAAGCTAAATATTTAGTTTACAAACTAAATACTTAACTTGCAAGCTAAATATTTAGTTAGCAAGCAAAATTTGAGTTCCACGCTAAATATTTAGTTTACAAACTAAATGTTTATGTCCAAGCTAAATGTTTAATTTACAAACTAAAATTTTACTT